ATTAACCCGACATCTTTTACCTTCCGGATTATCGGGGAGTCGAGTGGCCTCGTGCCGTTTCCAGATCTTAGCCTGGGGGCCAGGGGGGAGTACACTCTTGCGCACGAGGAGCATGAGTCATACTCCGCCTGTTGGCAGCTGTTCCCCAAAACCGTTGCATAATTACAAGATTACGAGAATCAGCAAGAAGAAAAAACCGCGAGATCCGCGGAAAAAACCGCGGGATCCGCGACAAGACGACGCCACCTCCTTTGTTTTCTACATTCGACAACGTCCGGAACGAATCGGTGGGCATCAGCAATTGCTTCATCCCAAACCAGAGGGATGTCGTGAATATTCATAGGGAGCACAGTAAAAATCTCGCAGCAGCAAAGAGTCGTGTGGCAATTTTCACAGTCTTGGATGATATTATGTTAATCATTTTTTCTTTGCGTTCGCAGTAATGCCTCTTAGCCTCCGAATTTTTACTGTGCTGCATAGGAAAATTCAGTGATGAAAATGTCAAAAAATCTTCAATTTCCTGTAAATAAGCATGGTGTACATAGGTATTATTCTTAGCCTCATCGATAAATTTTCCGAATAAAACATTTTGCACTTCGATTCCCGTGCCGAGCCCAGTAATTTTTCTGAGATATTTTTCTCAGTGTGGCATGTTTTGAAAACCACATATCAAAGTGATAGATTGAGTGATGTAAAAAAATAAGTGAATCTGGATTATTTCAGTTCCCACGAGCCATGTGGTTAATATTATCGGAAGCGGCATGTTTGATGTCTCAAGTGGGGTCAGATGGCCCATGCAGCTCCCAACATGCTTTTGCTCGTGGGGGTGAATGTCAACCTCCAACCCACCCAGTCTTCGGGTATACAACTGATTCTCACGTGCCAATCAACGAATTAATCAAACCGTCAATTAATTAATGGACATTAATTGATTGAATTGAATAAACTTATTAAATGATTCATTAATGAAACTGCGAATTAAAACCGCGAATTAAAAACGCGAATCCGCCGATTAAACAGCGATTCCACCAACACTCACCACCACCTATTGTTGATTCAATGTTTCGAACGCTAGTCGCGGACTGAATTTTGTCACGATTTGACGAAGTTGACTTTCAAATTCGGATGACCTCTCCATGCGTTCAAAGATGAGCCGTGCTTGATTGGCAAATTCCGCAAATGTTTTGCCCTTCCCGATTGCTAGGTTTCTTACTTCGCAGAGGAGATCTGAATCCTCTCTCTTGACTCCCCATTCATAGCGGAAGGCTTTGACGAAGTCTTTCCATAAACACCAGGATTTTTTATTGACTAAATACCAAGCCCTATAAAATCCTTCAAAAATTTTTGAGAGACAAGGTATAAAAAGGTCTTTATTGATCTCATTTATTGACAATATGTCCTCCAAAAGAAGCACAAATTGTTCGGGCTCTGTTTCGGTTGTTGAGAACGACATTTCCCAAGAACTGACAATTTCACCAATTTGCATCGACGATGTGTGTGAGCTGAATTTGCTGTTCTCGCTCAGTGAACTATCATTGCCTCTTGACTCGTTACTGCACCTATTTCGTCTCTTTCTCCGAATATTTTGCCGATAATATCTTTCGTAATCGTCGTCGCTAGAGTCACTTACTCGCCACAACAAACTACCCCTACGGGGAGACAAGGTTCGTTCCAGACTTCGTGGCGGTTCAGGGCCCGAAAATAAACTTCTCGCCAGAGAGCTTGCCCCACGACTTACGCTACGTGGTTTATTAAGACGAGCAAGTATGCCTTTCACGGCTGATTGCAGGCTTGGAAGTTCGCTCAAAATTTCTTGAGAGTGCGTCAAGGGTAACTGTGGGTGGTTGACAAAAGGATCTTTCGGGGGTGTTCCCCATCCACGACCTCTACCTGCTCCGACGAAGAAAGAACTACCGCCCGATTCTCTACTCATGTTGGCGTTTTCGGGGACATAATTCCTGTCTAGAATATATGCCCCATGCGTTCCCCTCCCCGTATTACTAATAACCGTTTAATTCGCTGTTTATAATCAAACAAGTAAACACTAATGTTTTGCACAGTATGTGGCGAGAAGCAATCGCCACGACAATCAATTTTAAAATATTTGACAATTACGGGACCACAATACTTGGATTCGTTCGAGGCTCTATTGTCCCAATAACTGTTACAATATTTTTAGACCGTCGACGAAGCAAGATTCAATCCAGGCCCTTTTTCAATTTGGTAATCTCAATATTAGCGAGTTAACGACAAAGCAAGATTTAATCGTATCCCTATTTAATTGAATAATTTCTTTAATTTCTTGGGTGAACTACGAACCAAGCTTCACTTGTTTCTCCCCATTACATATCGTTTTCGCGACTCATAGAAACCGGTTCGAGTTTAGTTACTTAATTAACTTTCCATTGTTCCGGACAAACATGAAGCAAGATTCAATGTCTTCTGGGATTTTATTGATTTATTATTTCTGACAAATACGAAGCAATTTTCAGTATCTACCAGAATTTTGTATATGTATTTCGTTCCCCTATGGGTTTATTAATTGTTGGTGGAATATACCAAGATATGATCCACCTCAACGTATATTTTCTAAATCTATTATGTCATCAGGAGGAACGGCACCGTATTTTGACAACTCAGTATTTCTTTTCATTAATTCTGACAAGCTCCAAATGAGGTTTGGCCTGCCAAAACATTTATTCATCTTATAATTTGTCAACGACACATCGCAAGATATAATCCGCGTCAACTCTATTCAATTTTGTCAGTAGGAGATTGCAAGAAATAATCCCCATTGAGGTAAATATAATTTCGATTTATTTTAGAGAAACCTGTTCTCCGTTAATCGTAGTTGGTAACCGTATGTATACAATATCACACTTATAACATATAGAGTGAAGGATGAAAGATGGAATGAGAGTGAGAGAATTTTATAGCTTAAACTCTGTTTGTTTATTTTAACGCGCTCGGGCTTGGCGTTGTCAGACTAACGCGTAGTTACTACTTAGCAGCTAGGCGAAGCCAAAAAGGTTTTATTTAATTTTCACTTTAAAATTTTCTTGACAATTTACTGTAATATTCCCAAAGGTGCCCCACGTTGGGTGCCAATTGAGACAAAATCTGTTTTTCCCTTGACTTATCTCTAATATATTAAAGGAGAGTCTAGGGATATCGCATGCAAATTTTGCGATTGTGATTTATCGATTCAAGTCATCAATCGATTGTTTCATCTCTCGATGAGTATTTATCATGCGAGAGAATCGTAGAGGCAATATTGCCTTGTCATTGTCATCAATCAATTGATTGAAAATTCTATCATCATTGAATTTAAATTTACAAATAAATAAATATCAATACGTGTGTGTTGTTTAATAATTGAATTATTAATTAAATATAGTGCAGTGTGTGTTTAAATATTATTACGGAACTGACAGGAGGGAACTATTAACACAAACCATTTCTGCTGTAGGTGTTATGTTGATTTCAATTAATTATGATATGAAAAACTATCACAAGATTGTGCAGTGTTAAAATTTAACGAACATTGAAACTACGGACAAGTGTGAGTAAAAATTTATTTATTTATTATTAACTTTATTATTGTGTATGAAAAATGAATGTTTGTCGGACCACGAAATTAGTACCTGATGTGAAAACACTACTTGAACATCAGTCCTATTTTTCAAATTATTTTTCATAATCAAATAGGAGTGAATTAATTGTAAATTAGTAATTATTTCGTGTGAATCTATTGGATATTTACATTGATTTTACCCTAAGTCCCTAAAATTGGATTTGAGCGTGCTTCAACAGTATTTTTTATCCAGAATTTAGTACATTATTAAACAATATAAGCGAATGATGTTTTTTCAGAGCCATCCATTTAACATTAACTCTGATAAAAATTATATGACGTTTGTCCATTAAAATAGTCATTCAATAGTATTCCGATAATGACATTCAATAGTGCTAATTGCACCTGCATCAGTTTAAATAAAGAGATCTCCGTTTTACCCCAACCTCCCCTATGTTTTTTATCTGATTACAGATTTATAGTTCCTACGTTCACTGGTCCAAATTTTCATTTCCCGGGTGGCTTATAGTAATATCGAAAGAAGAATTGAGCAAAATAGAATTGAGAAATATATAATCATGATTATTTATTTGTACCACATATTCAAATTAATTAACACTCGAAAAAAATTCCTGCATTTCAGAATCTTTTAATTACACCAATGAAAAACTTTGAGAGTTTTAAAAAAGTGCAAATTGTTATACTGGCGAAGAATTTTGTGCGGTTTATGTCTACATAATAACTGATTTTTTCGCTCCCGCTAGGTTTATTATGTTCACTCATTTCAATAACTCGGGGGCCCAGGTAATTAGCACCGCGTAATTGCAAATTTATATTTATTTTATTTAGGATCATAGTAGAACCATTGTATAGCATTGTAATAGTGATAAAAATGTTTGTAGGTCCTTCTTTGATTTTTTATTAGTTAATCAAAATAATCACCGAAAGTTATCACCTCACTTTCCTCATTTTTATTTGTAAACTCAAATTGACCTTCCTAGTCGTTAGCAAATCATTTGTGGGTAATGAATAATCTTAAGTGATCTTTGAAGATCTAATTGTTCGTTAATTAATTAATTAATTAATCAGTCACAACGTGCATATATGCGCATGCGTAGACACACATGAATTTATGCAACCCGCGCGTTTATGCCCAGTTGAAAAAATGAACAGCGCACCTAATTTGTAGCCGAGGCCCTATGCTTCACAGTTCCTCATAAATTCACTACTTTGAGAGCTTAAAATAAGTACTTAAATAAGGATAAGTCGATCTTGTTTCATCTCAAGTCTTATCTCAATTTACAATTAAATTGATCGTTTTGGAGCACTGAGTTCAACGCACGGCGGTCATACTGCACTCCTCACCCCATCTATGCTTCAAATGAGGATATAAAATAGAGCAAGCGCTTCACCTATCGGCAGTGAAAAAATTAGTATATATTGATAATATTGAAACACTCAATCGTAGATAAAAATCGAATTTCATCAATTTTTTTTTATTCAGTATTATCCATTGATCATTTCAATATAGAATCAGTAAAAAACTAATGAAAAATTCAACAGAAAGACGTCCGTAGGTTTTTCTATTCATTTTTTTCACGTTTGATATTAGAGTTACTGGGTAACGTTAACGGTTAAGCCAACATTTATTCCTTGCATAAAATATTAATAAATGATCTATGCAGGATATAATGATGAAACACAAGAATTGCACAAAATTCAAATGTCAATCTTAAATGAAAATTCCTGAGATTTATTTCTGAATTATTAAGCCTACTATGTTCTCAAAAATTTGTGGAAAAATAGCTTATAAGTTTCAATAGTATTGGTGCAAAAAGCAATCCACAAATAATGCGTGTCTCCCAGCTCTGCCTTTCCTTCTTTTTTTCTAAGTTTTCAATTCCCATTCATAATATTAGCAACTAAACTAATATGGAAAGCAAATTATTTGATCAATTTTTTTTTGTTTCAGGATTCTCATGGGAAAAAAGTGTATGAATATGTGAAATACTTTGTACTTATGCGCATATGTGAACATTTTTATATCAAAGCGAACCAATGTGTTATTATTAAGAGCTATGTGAACATTTTCATATGAAAGCGAACAAATGTGTTAATATCGAGAGATGTGTCCAAATATTTATACTAACGCCAAAAAATGTGCTACCAATAAGAAAGTGTAAATCAATAAATTATGAGAAGTTAATGAAAATATTACCGTTAATCAGACAATGTTATTTTTAAAAAATTGTAATATCACTGAAGATTGAAATAAATAGTAAAAGTGTATAGAAATATTTATATTTTCATAGATTCAAAAAAATACAATATAATGAGTCCCAAACAATTTCATCCGAATCCACATGATGAAGGTGATGATATAGTAGGAATCATCAATGAATCTTCTGAAAAAGAAGCAGGAATTACAAAATCGCAAGCTTTTCCTACTTCCACTGAGAATTGCACTCAAAAATGTTTGAATGAAAAACAATTCGCCATTCGCTCTTCAAATATGCATTTGAAAATTCTATCAGATGAAGCCTTTCCGGTCGTTTCAATTCAAAATTACTTGGATTGACAGAAATGCAGTGGTCTACACATACTACTGCAAATTTTTCTCCAAGTTCGACTGATTCGCCTCAGAAATCACAGTATTCTAAACCATCGGACATATTAATGATTGTTGAAGTTCATAGTAATACACAAGTATGTAAAAATCGGTTTTTGCCCTTAACAACCGTCAAAATCACTCAAAATTCCACTAATCATGATTCTGAGTCTATACATACTATTAATAATTCCTCAGATCATTCCAATGTTCTTAATAATCCAAGTAGAAAGAGTAAAGCGAACTCTTACATTTTAGGAAAGAATAAACATGGTATGTATACGATCACTATGAACTCAAACCAAACATCAGCACGTAAAATGAGTATTACTTCATGTGATAATCTGCAAACAATGTCAGGTGAGGGAATTTCACAAGATCAACAGCGTGGTGAGAATATCGATGATAAAATCTCACATAAAAAAGAATGATCCTGAATTCACAAGGCACTATTACATTGTCTGATGTAACAATATCAATGATGAATCTGAATTAAATTAGAGAACATTATGGGGGTAAAATGACAGAAATTTGTCAGCATTGCAATGCCAATTTTCAATGCGAAATTATTCGTAACAAGAAAAATTCATTTAATCAATGTTGTGAACTTGGCAAAGTCAAATTACCCTCATTGCCTGAAATGCCACAGAATTTGAAATCTCTGTCCCATGGAACGCACCCCAAATCCAATAAATTTTTCAATCGAATTAGATATTACAATAGTTCTTTCTCATTTGCTTCATTTAATGCAAATTTAATAAACTACTCGAATCGACGACCGGGACCTTATTGTTTTCGAATTCAAGGACAAATTTATTATCAATTTAATACTGCATTATATCCCGCTGTCAACGATAAGCCAAGATATGGACAACTTTTTATTCTTGATTCTGCAGAAATAATCAATGTTCTACAGAATACTAATTCGTCATTGGATAACGATGTTTTGCACGCAATAAATTCAACTATGCGTGATTGCAATCCATACGTTAAATCATATCAAATGATGCACGAAGAAATTCAAGCACAACAGAATAGAATGAGAGATGTGAATAATGACGAACCTCTACCAGAATTATTTTTATCATTTACCCCGAGATTGGGCTTGGATCGTAATCGTTACAATCAACAACGGTCCAATGAAGTAGCTGCTGTTTTTTGCACTACGGCAGATGGAAATATTCCAGATGCCTATCTTACTGTACGAAACAAAGCTACCAAACAATTAAAACGAATTAGTTCCTTGGATCCGAAAGTCGAACCGTGGATTTATCCTTTATTTTATCCCCACGGTACAAGAGGATGGCATCCAGAACGTAAATCTGTTATGTGATGAGGCAGAATTTTGCGCCCCCCCCCCCTTGCCCCTAATTGATACAGCTTATTTTTCCTAGGTTAAGTTAGATTTAAGCTACTCTTTTTTGCCACCGTTGGGCAACCCATCTCCAGATATTCCTTACGCCCGTCCCCATTTCCCTCCGCCACAGCACTCCCGCATCAAGGAAGAGGATCCCACGTGACCCCGGAAGAAAGCGACATCCCCCGTGCGAGCCTCCCAGATGAGAAGAAGAAGGACACGCGATGGCCTCCCCAAAACCAGGAAAGAAGAAGTGCCACAACTGCCTCAGGAGTCACTGCCCCAGAAAGAATTAAAAGAGGACTTAGTGTAAAGAGACCCCGTGAAAAGTTGCCCCGAAGAAACCCCGAACAATTTGTGAAGAGAACTGGTGAGAACTATTTTGAAAGAGAGAAACCGTGCGAAGGAGAAAAGTTGCGGAAATAGTGTGAGAGGAACTAGAGGAGAACAAACAATGTCAGGTGAGGGAATTTCACAAGATCATCGGAAATAGTGTGAGAGGAACTAGAGGAGAACTATTGTGTGGAGTGTGTGGAGGATTTTTTGGGAGAAGAACGTCCGAGGAGAACGCGGAGAGAAAAGGAAGGAAGGAGGATCAACCCCGAGGAAAACCGAGAGGATTTTGAGAGGACACCATTCCCCGTGAGTGCCCCATTTTTTATTCCCTGCCCCAACGAATTTCCTTGCCCGTGTTAATTTCCGCCCAACGGTGAGCCTCCAATACACTCATGTTAGTTGTAAATTAAGCCCCCTATTAATGATTACCTTTTCAGTCGGCCCCCCTCACTTCTCCCCCTTTTTCCAGAGTTAGAGTCACCCCCTCTTTTTATTATATAATATTTCGCGTAGCCGCAAGTGAGTTAGCCTTACCCCCCACCCTCGAGTTATTGGTCAAAAGGCTCGGATTATTTTTTTGTGTTAATATTGTGTTATGAAATCAGAATACAGATAGTCAATTCATAAATCCCTCCGAGTAATCATTTCAACCCCCCCCCCCCCCCCTTTTTATTATTTCAGGTCCTCCCGTCAGTTATAATCAATTTCCCCAGTTTTTCAGAATACCGTAAATTCCCCAATATCGTGTCTTCGCCGGGAATTATTATATTTTAATTCCCCGGTCAAGGTCACAGTTAGTACAGGAAAGCCAATAACTAGAGCGGCTTATACGAAATTTCGTATGGCAGTGCGAGACAATGATGACACGAATGTAATTCTTGATGGCAGACGATTATTTCAACAATGGATTGTTGATCAATATGTAAAAGTTGAACAAGATCGATTCAAATATATTGAAAAATTTCAGTCAAAGTTGCGTGCTGATAGTTATACAAATTTATTTAATTGCCTAGAGAACTCCGCACAGATAAATAATAAAGGCATTGGAAGAGTCATCATCTTACCAGCAAATTGTACAGGATCACCGAGATACATGATGCAACACTATCAAGACACAATGGCTATGGTTCGCAAATTTGGAAAGCCTGATTTATTTATCACGATGACTTGTAATCCCAATTGGAGGGAAATCAAGGAAAGTATAAAAGAAGTTCAAACTCCATCAGATAGGGCAGACATAACTACCCGTGTGTTCGATATGAAGAAAAGCCATCTAATGAATTTAATTGTTGATCAGAAAATCTTGGAAGAGCCTACTGCACATGTGCCCGTTATCGAGTCCCAGAAACGTGGTTTACTATACGTCCATCTTCTCGTGACTCTACGCGATAAATTGAGAACGCCAGAGAAGATTGATTCTATTATTTCAGCTGAAATTCCAGATCCTATTGAACATCCACGCTTGTTCGAGATTGTAAAAAAAAATATGATTCACGGACCATGTGGTGAGTGATGTCAAGAAAAGGGAAAGTGCTCAACAAATTTTCCTAAAAGTTTCCAAGAAAAAACTACGATAGATGAAGATTCTTATCCAACTTATCGAAGAAAGGATACTGGTGTATATTATGAAAAAGCTGGCGGGTATGTATTTAATAATAGATGGGTAGTACCATATAATCCTCAATTACTGCTAATACTGAATTGCCACATTAATGTTGAAGTAGTATCACCTGTTAATGCACCTAAATATTTATTTAAGTGTGTATTGAAAGATCATGATAAAGCAGCTCTTGAAATATGTAATCACTCTTTCGACTCCAGAGGCAATCCCGACGTTGAAAATTTAATTCACCATGATGAAATTAAAGATTTCATTGATGCTCGTTACGTTGGACCAATCGAAGCAGTTTGGCGCATATTAGGAAAAGAAATTCAAAAGAAGAGTCATTCTGTTGTTCGTCTTCAAGTTAATTTACCCAGTGAGCAAAATGTTATTCTCCCTGATAAAATAAATGATGAAAATATTAGAAATGTTATGAATCGTTCCTCGAAGCTTCTTGAGTATTTTCACCTCAACGCACAAGACGTAGTAGCAAGACGATATTCTTACACAGAAATACCCTGTCATTATACTTGGGTGAATGGTAAATGGAAATCCCGACAATCATCATTTAATGTACTTGGTCGAATGTATTCAATATCTCGAAGTCAGGTTGAATTATATCATCTGCGGTTACTTATATTGCATGTTAAAGGAGCCACCAGTTACAATGATCTAAAAACTGTTGATGGACTTCTTTATAATACATTTATTGAGACGTGTTTAGCACGAGGACTTATTGCAGATGATCAAGAATGGCATAACGCTATGTCAGAAGCTTCGATATGGATGATGCCTTATCAATTACGACGATTATTTGTTCGTCTCCTTATTCATTGTAATCCAGTGAAACCAAGAGATTTGTGGGAGACGTTCAAAGAAAATATGTCTCATGATTATAAACGGCGTATGAATAGTTCAGCTGCTGAAAGAGAGGCATATCTTGCAGTTGCTAGAATGATTACGAGAGATGGAAAGGATATAACTGATTTCGAGGGAATGGAGCAAGTATCTATTGTTGACCTCATGGAAATTTTCGTTGAATCCGACGAATTTTTGAGAATGGGTGAACAAAATTATTACAATCTAAATGATTCACAGAGGAAGATTGTTGATGATGTCATGAATATGGCCAATAATGATAATGAAGATGTTAAATGTATATATGTCGATGGTCCTGGAGGTTCGGGTAAGACTTTCACTTACACCACCATCTATTATTTTCTCAAGGGACAGAAGAAAATTGTAAATACAATGGCATTCACAAGAATTGCTGCGGTTTTATTACCTGAAGGAAAAACTGCCCATAAAATTTTCGGTTTACCGGTACCCTTGACAATTGATAGTACATCCTCATTTGTCACTGAATCCAAAGAGGCTGCAAAACTAAAAAATGTTGATGTTTTTATTTAGGATGAAGCTCCAATGACACCTAGATACGCTCTTGAAATTGCAGATCGAACTCTACGCGATATTATGGATAATGATAGACCATTTGGTGGAAAAATATTTTTACTCGGAGGAGATTTTCGACAACTTCTCCAGTATCATCTAATAGTACACGAAGTGAGGCAATTAGTTTGTCAATTAAATACAGTGATTTATGGTATAATTTTAAAAAATATTCTCTGACACAAAATATGCGTGTTTTACCGGATGAAGTGGAGTTTTCGGAGTATTTATTAATTTTAGGAAATGGCATTCTTAATGATACTGATGATAAAATTGAGGCTCCAAAACAATGTCTTGCACCGTCAACTGCTGACATTGTTTATGATACATATGCACAATTGATAAACGACAGAAAATATAATAAATTAGCAAATTATGCTATTTTATCTGCTCGTAATGAAGACGTCCATGAAATGAATGACCAAGTCATTCAGTTACTTGATGAGGAATCGGAACGAATATACACGAGTATAGATAGTGCAGACACAGCTGAAAATGATCAACTGGCTGAAATTCTCGTCCCAGAATATTTAAATACTCTGTCTCCAAGATCACTACCTTCTTATGAAATTCGTTTACGTAGATATGCTATTATTATGCTTATAAGGAATCTAAGTATACGTGAAGGTTTATGTAACGGTACACGATTACTCGTATTAGAACTTGGTAATCATCTACTACGTTGTGAAAGACTTTCTGGTGATGAGAAGGGAGATATCGTATTTTTAAATCGTATTACTTTATTGAGTGAAGAAGCCTATGCATTTACTTTCAAAAGAAGACAATTTCCTATTAAAATTTCTTTTGCTATGACGATTAATAAAGCTCAGGGTCAAACATTTGAAAAAATTAGTATCGATTTACGCAGAAATGTTTTTAGTCATGGACAATTATATGTTGCATTTTCACGTATAAGATCTTGCGACTCATTAAAAATTTACATGAATCCTGAACGTGACAATGACAAAATTGAAAATCCAGTTTATACAGAATTATATAGATGAATGAAAAAAATAATGCAATTAAATTTTTTTAATTCTCCTCTCCAATACATGAAAAAATTGTACAGAAAAGTTCTTTATGTTGATTCTATATGATCTCATAAAGAATCGTTGTATTAGTATTAACCCTATACGCATTGGTTGTATAATAATTCGTTTCCATTCGAATTTAATATTACGGAATTCTTTACGATAATCTCTATGAAAAATGTTTCATACGACGTCCACAAAAGTCTTATTGTCATCAAATGTGTATTATTGTTTAGTAGGAAAATATTAAAATAAAGAATGTTAGAATATAATAGCCTCAGTTTTCTACGAATTGATTTATATGAGTCTATGGTTTCAAAATGTATCAACATAGAGAGAGATGTTGGGATTAGACATAAACATAAGCCATGAGGTCATGTGGCAAAGGAACTGGGGATCCATTGTCACATTATGACGTTTTCTCTTTTTGGCCCTGTTGACCACTTTTAGTCTGCTCTGGCAGGTCGTATAGAACAGACATTTCTTCCTCGTGCCATTTTCAATAAATTAAAATTAACATATTAAATCCACTGTGTTACAAAGTTATTTCTCTGTCCCCCATATTCCATTGAAGAAGAATTCAATTCAATTCAATAGTTCGACAAGGACCGGTGAGAGAAATGTAAATATCATAAAAACTACAATCAACAAAGTGGGTCTTTTACGTATTGCATCATTTTAGAAAAAAAAACTTTCCAATTTGCTTCGCAATCTTGTGATAAAAACTTCTATTGAAAATGTTATTACATTGCATAGCTAATTTTCTTGGAAATATTTTATTTGAAATATCAATAAAACGTGATTTATCTGTACAACTCTTCCCTTTAAATATTTTCAATTGAAATTTCTGCATATAGACTTTCTTATTAAAAAAAAATCTCTATAAAAAATGTGTTGATAGAAAAAGTTGTAGGTATAGAAAGAGCAAGTTCTATTTATTTTACTGGATAATCTAGAAACTTGATATTAGAAATTCCATCTATATCATTTTCTGGGAAAAAGATTTCAACCGTTGTAGAAAAAAGATGTTACCAGAATACCAAAACAAATAATGGATATTTCCGTAGTTTTATATTGCAAGAAATTTTAAATTTTTAAGATCAACACTTTTCAACGTCGCATATCTCTCCATAGAACAATAATGATATTTAAAAAATCAAAATTTGGTCCGCGTGCACATTAATTTCGAATGCATGAGAGTTCACCATAATGATGTGGTGGCGCTTTGGTTTCTTAGAGGCAAACGATCGTTTAATATATATAATTTAGAAGAAGTGAAAGAATTTCGTAAAGAATAATAAAGATGACAGAAATAAAATAAATGTAAAACTTCATTTTATTAATTGAAAAGCATTGAGTTATTATTTTAATAATAGTGAAATGAAACTTAATTAGTTAGGACTTGCATGGATTATTCTTGGAAAGTTATCTGTGATTTGAATTTTGGTACACTAAATTTCGAAATATTTTTCACCGACAACATGAAAAAATATTTCTATGTTAAATATAATATTTATGATTCTCCGTTCATGAAATTTCTATATGTTAAGGATTTTGGGATTCAAAAAAGATGAGTCATTTTTTAATTTCGAAAAAAAATCAATCAGTTCAGGCGTTTATCCACACGACATCCTGGGAACCAAGGCAATTATCAATCGTGTTGGACTGAGCCTGTAGCTCAAAAGACAACGCCTCCTCTTTCCCCTCTATATCATTTCTAAGTTTGGCAACAGCACCATCAATATGCATGACCTGTAAACATAAAAAATCATTAAATAAAAACATGTGAAAGATTTTGATTATAACATAAATCCTATTTTTTTTTCTGGTGTAGTTTTTTGAGTTGAGAAATTTAATGAAAAATTATTCAAGAAAAAAAAAACTTCATGAACATGTATGTAAGTACTTTGTGTATGTTCATGATTCCGAAACTTTTTCGGTACAAATTCATGAACATAAATTTTTTCCCTATCTTGTTTTCTTTAATGAATGGATATGAAAGGAAAATATAATATAATAAATTTAGCAATTTTGGAAAATTGCAAGAATCTAATTTTAAAAAATATTTATCATAGTATCAATAGTTTCTATATGAATGATATTCAAAATTGCGACCAACTAATTTACACTTTGCCATATTCACAATTGAATTCAAAGAAATCCTCTCTACATAACAGCATGAAACTTTTAATTCTTTTCTACTGACCATCTTCTTTATCAAATTGAGAAAAAAAAACTATAAAATCAAACATTTTGCATTGAAAAGGCATAAAACATCGAATTCTAAATATACATCTAAATGAATTTCCTAGGAGGTTTACGAAAATTTTTCATTCAATATTTCATGAACTGTTATTCATAATTACATAATCTTGAAGAAAGAAAGGGTAGAGTCGTCGAGCGTCGTCATTAAATGCAATGAATTTGATTTTTTGATTCTCATCATTCTTTAAGATACACTGGAAAACAAATTCTTGGAGACCAGTCTGTTCCAGCGGTCCCAAGGATTCTGCCCAGCCAATAATTTCACTGCAAATAAAAAAACATTTCCAATTTTGGAAAAAAAGACCTCAATAGTGATGGAAAAATATGTAGAAATAAAAACCTACACAGTATTATCGTTCAATTGAATTTTTTTTAGGATGTTTGTGACAGTATAATCGATCATCCATCACGGAATAATCCGATCACGGAAAACGTCCTTCAGGCGTTTATTCTTAATTGATGCAACTATAAAAAATCAATTTTCTTGTCACATAATTTTGAGGTTAAAGCCATCTTAAAATATTTATTCATCCTTCTCTTAATATCTATATATATATAATTTAGTTATTTATAATAAATTAACTTACACTTCTCTTCAGACATTATCAACTCAAAATTAATAAATTGTTTAGTTAGGAATAGGATTGGAACGTTTCTATTTATTACAATTGTATATTTGTATATAGTTTATATAGTTTTCAAATATTTGGGATTTGTGATCGTTTTATCGATAGAAATATTGATAAACTTATCGTTTATTCTGAAAACGGCAGATGTCACGTAATGGCTGAGTGGCCACACAAAATGTCCAACATTATATTTAAAAATGTTGACTATTGAACCCGCGTTCATCAATTGTTATTTAAAAACATATTACGTTAGTAAAAGAATAGTGTGGCAAAACGAAAAAGCTGCTATCGTATAAAAAAATTTCGGAGAATAATAAGAAAATATTGGTGAGTACAGAATTCAATTATTAATTATTCCGAAACAAGACATTCGGAAGCAGTTTCGTTGGCGGATTGCACACACAGTGAGTGGATATCAACTTAACTAAATTGATTTTATTCAACTAAAAGATTGTACATTGGAATATCCTCATTCAAAACTCTTCTGTGTAAATATCTTATACGTATATATATTTTAATTCTGTCTAGAAGAAGCAAATATGAAGGAAACAAACCAACAAACAAAAAAAATGAAAGATACTGAGAAAATGCATCAGTCAGAAGATGACTTTGAGTCCTTGATGACACCATCAGAACGTATTAAGGAAATCAAGTCTAATGAGAAATCGATGTAATTGTTATCCAATTAGCAATGATTGAGTGAATTAGGGATTAAAGTGACAATAGCTATATATTATTGCAGTGAATTGGTCGTTACGGTATCATGCATTGATGGATACAAGCTGATCCACTCACACAAGAAGAATAAAGATATTGGGCGTTATCAATTTAAAATGCATGCTAAAGATCATTCAACTACTGTCCAGTTTCTGGCTTGGGAGAATGATGCTAAACGTCTTAGCAGTGTACAGCTATCACCAGGAGATGTAAGTGAAAACGTAAAAAAATTACAGAAAAATTTAACAAATTCGAATTTAATGAGCGATTGAAAATATTTCATAGGAAAAAGTCAATAAAACTTTGTTCTGTTACAGAATTTTTCGATTGAGTCATTATCTTTAAAAATAGCTCAACAGAGACAAGTGTTTTTTTCACATTTTAAAAAATGAAAAAAAGAGTGAAAAAAGATTTAAAAAATAAATTAAAGTATTTATGGTAAAGAAAACCAAGAGGAAATATCGTAAAGTAGCCCCATCCTTTTAATAAATTGAAAGATTATCCAAAACTACATAAACTTTTTAGGAAGTTCTATCACATTTTGAATCATAATTTTTTCCTCAATTTAATTATCGTTTCTGTTTTTCAAAAAAAAAATTTCAAAAATCAGAACTTAACACAGTGTCTTATGCGAAAATCAACATTTTTCGTTGTAGTTAAAGATTAAAATCTGAATTTTTGATCATTAGACGTATAAAAATCACGGAATGTTTTGACACTTCGTAAAAAATAATAATCCACCGTTTGGAAAATAAGTTCTATTATATGTTTATAACAAGAAAATGTTTAAAAAAATATTCATATTTTCCGAAATTTAATTTAGATAATATTGACTATACATGAATTTTTTGGAATTTTACTCATGCAATCAGTTGGAAAATTTGGCAATTGAAAATATTCAAAAGTACTGTATCCGGTCGGTAAAATACCGACCTGAGGGTAGAGCTACCTTAATAGAAAATTCAGTATTAAAAGCTTAACTTTTTGCATGCTTTTGTCATAAAATATTTTCACTAAAACTGATTACAAAGCACTTTGTTGTGCAACGCGACAAATGTTTTGTTTACTTGAAAAAAAATTTAATAATGCAATATTTTTCCTTTATTTTTCAGATTATTCATATTGATTCACTGACTGCTAAACCTATTGAAACCAATTTCAATAAAGGAACCGTGCCGATTCAATTACTTGGCAATTCAGCCACAACAATAACAATTTTAAAAGAAAAAGGAAGTGATGGAAGATGCGGTGACATGGAAGCAGAAATCCCATTCGTGAAAAAATTCGATGCAATTCCACAGCACACTGGAATTATCAGTAAGTATTTTAACCATCACATTATTATTCATATCATATTTTCACGAATGCCAAAACTTTACTAAAATTTCGGTAAAAATATTTTATAGGAAAATCTTATTTAATTCTCTTTTTCTGTACAATTCCTTCTATTAAAATAATTTCTATGGAAATTTCTCGGCATAAATTTTCAACACTTTTTTTTCATTCTCTTCTAATTTTTTTTCTATTTATGGCAAAAAATGAAAAAAACATCTCTGTGAAAAAAATTCTATAGAACGAGCCAACTTTCCAATTTTTTTTCAACAAAATTGGAAAAACAAGAAAACTAATAGAATTACTTACTATCTTCGCGAGAGTTTTTTAAGAATAGAAAACAAAGTTGAACGCATTATTATTTTTTTTATTTTCAGAAGTCCAACGATTTATCAACTCCAACTTTGCAGTTGTAAAGCAAAATCTTGCAAATGGCTCGAATTTTATTTGCGGTTCGATCGCCGATGGATGGCACAAACTAGAAATCCAGATTGTGGCCTCCACGTTGATCGTTCGGATTTTTTGAGAATTTCCATTTTTTGAAAACTGCCCTTCTCTTCCGTTTGATTTTGTCGCAATCAGCGTCCCACCATCCTAGTGGATTTGATATCCGTCGAATTTGTTTGCCTCTTTCTTTCTTCTTTTTTTCTTCGCTGTTCGGTACATCCTTGGCTTTCTAGTTGTTACGTCTTTGCTTATTCGGAGTGGAATTCTGGATACCTTCTTCGATGATTTTGATATAAAAGGTGTATCTATCCACTGGCGAGGCATTATTAAATTCAAAGTCGAGAAATCTTTCGTATTTATTTTCAAGATATTGTGAAAATTTTTCCCAGTCTGTCTTTACCGTATACAACTTGAACGTTTTCTTCCGATAATAGTTCCTCTCTACCTGCAGATTAATGTAGAGAGGAAAGTGATCCGATCCCATCAGCTCATCACCCATTCTGTAATTTATTTTGTCTGCTATTACAACGTTTGATAGTAAAAGATCGATATTCGATTCGGATAACGAGTTTGCATCGAGGTGAGAATGAATCAGTATTGTGAATGTATAGATCTTTTTTTGTAATTGTTTCTAAGAATCTTACGCCATTTGCGTCCGTTCGACGACAGTTCCAACTTGTGTGGTGGGAGTTGAAATCTCCCATCAATAATACATTAGCATGATCATCCAAATTGGATAGTAGCTCATCCCATTTGTCCTGAGAGAGACTGAATCCCGGCGACCGATATACGATAACAAGTGAATAGTGTGAACTCTAGCTGGACGTTGTTAAACTTCAAGGCGCACATTTCAATTCTGACATCTGGAATATTTAAGTTATTTATTTCCAAATAAGCCAAATTTTTTCTAACAAAAATTGCCGTCCCTCCTCCAGAGTAATTTCTGTCGTTTCGATATGTGACGAAGCCCGGGAATGTGAATTGACCTGCTGGAACTGTCGCCGGATCCAAGCGTGTCTCGAAACAAATGAATATATCTAGATTTTCTAGTAGTTTTGGAATCTCTTCCTTAATTCTTCGTAAAGATCTGACGTTCCATACTAGTATTCTGAGGTCCTTGGTTATATTCTGAGGGTTATTCTGATCGTTCATAGCGTTTAGTTCAGTGAAGATGTATTTGGAGAGAGTTTTTGAGAATAAATAATGCATGTTGTGATTGTATATGACAGAAACAAGCAGAAAGAGGATTTAATATTGAGCACGATTCTCTTATTGAGAATCTATTGTTAGATCGGGGTCAACTGACCCTCCGCCCAACTTCTCCTCGTTTGTCTCCTTCTTGTCCTTGTTAGAGTCTTTATATTCCTTGAGTTTTTTAAGGAGTCTTGTGCATCTATTCGTTATTCCTGAGCTTGGTAGTGTTGGGTGGATATCGTTTAACATTTCTATTATTCCTGTTACATTTTCAGAATATTCCAATGCAGTTCCCACCTCGATTGGTATTCCCCTGAAGGCCTCAAGGAGGCCTCTCAGTTTCCTTACTACTTAAGGGATATTGTTTACCTGATTCTTTCATGTATTTATCTGTCTCTTCCCAACTATCGATCTTCTTCTTTTTTGGTGTTGGCTTCTTGGCCTTCTCGGATTTTGGTTGGTGACTCGATTCAGATCCGCAATCCGAGGATAGATCTTCTGCTGGGAGAGCCCACCTGTTATCTTCTAGGGAAGCAGCGCTCTCTCCCCCCTCCCCTGTTGTGCTAGAGAGTGCTCGTTTTGTATTTGGTTTACTAACAGTTTCGTTCATGATTTCCATCGATTTATCTGGAGATTGGGAATAGGTCATGGCCTTACTATTCATGTTAACCGGGGCGAGAGGTGCTGCGAAATCAACAAGAGGGAGATGTAAATCCTTGTTGCTGTCGGCATTGCTGGTGTTAGTCGGGTTGTTGTCTACTTCTATTGGTGTATTGTTTGGAATATTCTGTGAGCCATTGTCAATATTTTCCTGGCAATTTGTGGCAATGTGCCCCTCTCCCCCACAGGTAAAACAAGAGATTTTCTTAGAAGAGAAATACACATGGTATTTGGTGCCTTCAAATTCAATGGCAGCCAGGCTTGGGACTTTTTCGATGTCTTCTGGGTCGATAAAAACTTGTCTACGAAAACTACCGATATGTGAGAAAATGCTATTGGTCGCACTAGCTTTGAGTTCAGTTATCCCGGACCTACAACGCACTGAGGCTTTCGCCAAAACTTCTTCCATAGCACGATCTGGAATTTCTGGACGAGCATTGGAGATGATGACTTTTCTGCTCTGGGCTACTAGGGCTCTGATCTGTGTAGTTTTCTCTCTAATTTTTATAGACCCACTAGTGTGAAGAAGATCGGCTACTTGTTCCTTATTCTGTAGGTAACAACAAATTCGGTTACCTGAGATGCGCGATATATACCGCATTTTCTTCTCATCCTTCAAGATGTCCTTTAGAGCCCACATGTATTCTTCGAGTTTGCTGTCTTGAAGATAATCCATTACCATAGCATCTTCCCGCGTTGGTCTTGACTTTGTAGCACTACTATAACTTTGCCTTTGGGAATTTGGTGACTTTGGTGGTGCGGCCGTGTTGCCCCCGTAAATCTTTGCTTCCAAAAATTTAACGGACTACACCAGTTTACCCTCGAGGGGGTTTTGTTGTTGTTGTTTTTTTTTTTTTTTTTTTTTAATACGCTTTTTCACCTATTGCATTAAGCACACTCAAATCGTATATGAACTCGTTGAATGAACTAAGAGAATACCGACTAATCGGCATTCGATTACCTCTCCGGGAACGCACTGTGTATAAACACGTCTGCTCTTTTCGAAGGTTCAAACGAGACTCCGCCTCCACGTTGACACAAATTTTCAAAAAGGCCAACATGTTCAAGTATTGGGAGTTCTCAGAAGAAATGGTAAATATTGAACTTTTTTTTCGTAGTTTCTTGTCCCACTTCTTTCAAATTTGTTTAAGTACGGCATACGCTATTGAATATGATCTTTAATTTGCAGTTAATATTATTGTTGCGGGTCTTTTATATAAATAATAAATGAAATTTTTTTTACAGCTAAACCAGTTTATTTGGCTGTTAACAGCATTAATGACATCACCGTTGCAAGCGATGAAGTCATGGATTTCAGTCAACTAATTGGCTGCTGGAGGTACGTTGTGGTGCAGAATTCAACAAAAAAAGTAAAACTCAATGAATAAATTTTCCATGAAGAATTTGCATTTCTGTCTCACCCATCTTAATTTTTTTCATTCAAATTTTATTGTTTATCAACTGTGTTCATGCATTATTAAATATTCATGTGAATTGATTTAAATAAATAAAATGATACAAATAACCGTTTTTTAATGAAATGTTTCCAAAACTTTAACTAAAATTTTAACAATTTGTTTTCATCCATAACATGAATTTCCTGGATTGTAATATAAGAAGGAGAAAGGACATTTTTATATTGCAAACAATTATCAATTTTCAACAACAGTCTTAATAATCTTTAACGCTCAATATCTCTCGAATATAATAATGGTGTTAAAAAAAAGCAAAATTCGCTCCGCGCACACTTTTCTTTGGAATGTTCAAGAGTACGCCATGCCGACGTGGTGGCGCTTCGGTTTCGTCTTACGCGTCAACGATCCGTAATATATATATTCTAATTGAAAATTTGAATTTTTTTGAAATTGTTAACACTTCTCAACCCCGAATATCTGTCATTAGAACAATTATATTTAAAAAAACGAAATTTGCTCCGCAGGCACATTCATTTGAAATGCTTGAAAGTTCGCCAAGACGACGTGGTGGCGCTTCGTTTTGTCATACGCGTGAACGATTAGTCAACGCCGCACACCTCTTGTCACTGACAAATAATTTCCGATTCAATTAATCATTAATTAACATATGTATAAAAATTATGTATTCATATACTGTATTAATGTATGAATACATAGAATATGTTTCTTAGTTTAGCCTAGAAACTCGCTTTTGAATTTGGCGGGGATTTTTATGAGAGATTGATGGGCCATTTTTTATACTGCCATCTACCGTGACATATGCGTACCCCTCTTTTAGAACGTTTCCATAAGAGCGTATCCTTCACTCACCGCCATGACACTTTGCAGTCTATGGTTTTTTTTATAAAAAAAAAGGATTTTACTAAAGAATTATAATAATCTAAAAGAAAAAAATGAATTGTCTCAAGAATAATAAAGATGACTAGAAATGTAAAACTTTATTTTATTAATTAAAAAACATTGAACAGGTATTATTTTAGTAGAGTTGATATTTTCATTTGGTCAGACACTCTCAATATCCTTTGAAGTGGCAAGGATTTTGATTAGAGGAAGAGCACGAACGTCGAGAGCTTTAATATCTGTCATCGATTCCACCATGAAATATATTTCATTTTCTAACAAAGAAAGAAACAAAATGGTTATTTTCCTTATCATTTATTATCTGTATTCGTACTCACGGTTTTTTTGCAGGGAACCAGTCAATTCAATTCGTTGACCTCTTTCAAATGTATGGTCTTTATCAAAATTATTCAGTCTTACTTCAACTTTGTACTCTCCATCAGTTATGAAGCCATAAAAACGGTCGGGATTGTTACTGAAGGGATTCAGTATGATCGTGAAATTCTTCTTGATCCAACCTTCTGTTTCTGAATTGAATAATATTATGAATTGAGTATATATGTTGTACCGTGGTATTTTACCAGTTACTGGTTCTCGACCGTTTCGCGATTTTAGAGACTTCCACCAGACGGGAAGTCACCTTCAATGGCGAAAGTTTTGAGAAGAGAGGAGAACATACGTTTGATTGTATTTTGTTTTATTTTGAATTATGCGCCACCGCGGTCCATTCTGAGGACATCGACGAGGATCCCTGGACGCCGAGAGATGTCATCGAACTCCTAATTTCTGATGATAACTGGATTTTCGATGTGGCCGATAATGGAGCCACAATCCAGCTATCAATTACCACGGAAGTGACGTATCACCAGAGCACGAGATTTCGCAATTAATGGAAAAATAGGAATAAGTTAATCAGGAGAGTTACTATTCTCTCATGGGTAGTAATTAACGCACGAATAATGTTGTAATTTTAGGGATGCGCTGAGAATTTATTCTCGCTAATTCAACCCAATTAATGATTGTGAAGCATCGCGAAATTTAATAGCGTATGCGTTTTGAATATAATGTTTGTGTCGCGCATGCCCGAATACTTGGGACTGGTGGATAAATAGATTATCCCCACCTAGTTCATGATGCCGTAGCGTTACCCACCTGTTGCAAATTTTCACGTGTCTCGAAAAATCACTTCCCATGTGGTGGAGATAGTGAGCGGATCTAATTAATAATTCTGAGATCAAAGGACGCTATCGTAATAAATCGGAACTAAGGACGCCATTACAAGTTCATCATTTATCAAGGATTGTGAGAACTTTGAGGAGATTTTGGAAGTCGTGGGTGAGCTTGGTGGCCTAATTATTTTATTGTGATTTATATAATTTTTTAGTGGGCAGAGATTCAGGTTAATTATTTGGTGTTGCGTACACCCGTGTCCTTTAGGACTATTAGCTGATTATTCTATTAGTGAATCTCTGACCACTCTCTTCAGCGAATTTTGACTCTCTCTCTCATTTATATTTATTAGTGGATTTCATTTTGTTAATTTTGATCAATTACTATTTTTTTTTTTGAGTTTCGCGACTTTGTATGATAGAGTTGTGTCGCGAAATTCAGTGACTCTCGCCGTTGAATTTTATTTTAATTTCAGTTAATTTCAAGGTCTCGTGACTTCTCGAACATTTGTCTCTTATATTGTATTTATTTTGTATAGTTTTGCTTGTCCGAGGTCACGTAGACCGATCGATTTTCACGTTACTGTTTCGAGTCATTGAACTTACTTGACGATTTTTGATAAAATATTTCTGATAAGATTTTCTTGACTTTTCTGACTAGTGACAATTGAGTTTTGTGACTCAGTTGTTTTTCAATACTTTAATATTTATTTTGACTTATGTGGCTGTTTTACTATTATTTATTTATTTTTTTTTATTGATTAGCCATCAGAAAATCTTCATTTAATAATAATTTGACGATAGTGACCAATTTAAAATTACATAGAGTGCACAGTAACGAGTGGACGATTTAAGGGGATTTTATTTTATATATTTCTTTTTTATGTATCGAGACTGATTTTTATTTATTAAACATTGTTCTCCCCGACAATTTTTATTTTATTTATTTTTTTTTTGCTGAAGATCCCAGTTGCATTCCCTTTCAGCTTCCGATTTTCTAAATCTCTACGTGTTGAGCTATTGGAGCAATTGAGGCTGAGAGCGGAGAAGGATTTCGATACGGCGGTCATTCCGTTAAAAATTTACCTGGCGCCTAACTGATTTTTCTGATTTTTTTTTTCGGGGTGATTTGGTGCCAGAGGGCGGGCTGATGGACGAAGGGTTCCGTGAACCTTCGAAAATTACGTCGCAATGTATAAAGTATATGAAGCTACTCGTCAATTATGAAACATTATTTAACTTACTAACAAGCCAGAGTTGTGCTCAGATTTTTCAACTCCACTGATGGACAATGTGTCTTATTTATGGCCTCTGTGTGCACTTTCCTGATTCCCAAAATAGAAATGATAGTATTCGATTGGATACAGAATTCATAAGATTGTGTACCAGATCTATATTGAGGGGGTACACCTCGAACTTTCACTCCATCGAGATGGATCACCTATTAATAAAAGTGCAATATTCATCTAGAAAGTTATGATAAAGTATGTTAGTTAAGTTGGTAGTCAAAACGAAACTGAACGTACCTGATTACACAGCAATTTAAAATTTTGCACACGAATCGCTTCTTCATTCCATGCAATTACTGAGATTACTTGACCATCATTATTATTGACTATAAATTTATAAAATTGTTTGGAAGAATTTCCCGAAATAACTGTCATTCCAGCGACTTGAGATATGTAAGCCACAACTTCACTATAACAAAAGAATATACCAAAAAAAACATCGGCTATAAAAATACGCAAATGCATTGTGAGAATAAAGAACAGTAATTACGCCTAACCATGAATTATCCCAGTGACGTATGTTTGAGAACATTGCCGTAGAAGAATGGGGAAAATCAATTTCCGAAGAAGGCTGTGAAATAAATTGAAAGGTTATGTTTCATTTTTTTGATTACATCATAGTTAATTAGTTAAAGTTTGTGTAATTAGTTAAAGTTTGTAATTAGTTAAAGGCTGTGTTGGGCTGATGTCCACAATCTTACGGCAGTTGATTTCATCATATATTAAAGAACAAATATATTTAATATGCAGAAAAAACTAACTTCGACTTCGGAATTCATCATGAAAACTGTCCAATGCCAAAAATTCAAATTTTTTTAACAAAATTGTTCACGCAATTCACCCTATTGCCGATCGCAATAGATAGAGTATTCAGTTAGAAAGGTTTAATGGCTCCGTCTGTTTTGGGCTGGTTGTTCACAGTCTTATGGCCGCTTCAATAGTCTATCCCAGGCATGGGTATTACCATCAGCGAAGAGGTTTTGGACGTTTTTTCCGATTAAAATTTTTATTTTTTGCGTTCGTTAGGGGGCGCGAAACATTATTAAGTTCTGGTGGATTTGTGAACACCCAAGTGGCGAGTGGTTCCAACTATTATTTCACTATACAAATGACTGCATAATTAAAATGTTCATATTATCATCGATGAAATTGTGCAAAAAACTACGTGCAGAGCGCGCGAAGCGCGCGTTAAAGTGCTAGTAATATTTAAAATAGAGGAATTGACAAAGATTTCACCCGACGCGGCCTGGGTCAGGAGCTGTCGGGGCTCAAGGCAATTTAATTACTTATGAAAAGTTGAGTGCCAGTCAATTTTACGAAGATTGACAACTTCCTTAATGGCAATGAATTGAAGACTAGAACACGAGATTTGTTATAACGGGTGGACTCAACTTTGGAGACCCTGTAGAAAGCTAGAGAAAGAGAGAGAGTAAGACAAGGGCGGAGGGCTACTTACAGTGCTTTCCTGGAATGGTCTCTCCTGGCGTGGTGTGAGGCGATAGACAATTATTGACACCGTTAATTTGTCAACACATCTTAATCACAGAATGGCGCGAGCCTATACATAATACTCAAAGATACAGTAACATAGACAATA